GGTTCCTTGATAAGATGATTTTGCGATGAGAATCGTAATATTTGTCGCTTTTGCAACGATGCCAGTGTTTCCAGTTTCTTAAACTGCGTTTCAATAAACGCAGTTTAAGAAACGTGCCGAAGCGCTGGTAAAAACGGTSCGTCGTTAAACGCGCTTAATTTCGGCGTTTAACATAAACTTAGYTTCGTCAAACTGCGTTTCGCTTGTTTCCGATGGGAATCGGCCTTAAGGTCTTTGACTGCAACAAATACTTACTGATCAAAATCGCTAGCCAAAGCTGGAAGCTGAAAGGCAATAGGAAAGCTAGAAGAGGGATTTCGGACTTCTGTTGCGGGGAGGCTAAAAAAGAGACCCCGCTGAAGAAATATGGGACACTAAAGTCGATCACTTCCGATCGGGCGCTGGACACGCTCAAGGCTGCAAAGGACATGTGAGCGGCGCCGCTCACGAGATCCCCAACTATCCCGTTCCACTTGGCGTTGGCATCGTAGGCCTCCTCCTTTAGGCGCTTGCTTTTCATCAACTCTCCTTTGAATCTGGAATTTTCGTCGTTTTGCCAGCTGCACTCGCATTAAGCAGAGCGCTGCACCTACCGATAGCTGAGGAATTTTTTGTTCACGTCCCGCCTGTCCCGATTGGCCCTCGCCATCGGCATTCTGGAGCCGAACATCCCGTCCGCCACGATGTACAACCTAAAATAAGAAACGAAGTTGACGAGGATCGCAATTTATTGGGCACTGGGAGAGTTTTCCGATCGGAACACATGCATTAGTTTCCATGCGAAACTCTAACAGAAGAACGCCCGGGGGGCTTTTTGCGCCAAGAGAATCAATATTGGGCGGCCAGCCGCTATTCCATGTTGCGATTCTTGCATATTAAACTCCTGGAGTTTCGCAAAGATAATAAATGGGCTTGATACATTTTTGATGATGCATGCCAAGGGCCTTTGCTTATGAAGTACGAAAATGGCCTTTCGCTGTTTCCACTTTAGGGCATGCGAGGCTGCAGCCAAGAAGACTATGCAGAAAGAATAAATTAAGTTTGAAGCCTGATGATGACTAGATAGCCGAAAGCGCTAGGCCAACTGTACCTTTGAAGGCTTGAAAAAGACCAAAAAAAATTACACACTTCAATACAAAGAGACCGATTGTTTGATTTCCCATTTAAACTGGTTCTAACCACAGAGTTTTAGTTATTATATTCTTCGGCGAGACAACAGCGCCATCATCAGATTTAAAATTTACACAAACTCATAATTGGTAAACATTACGTTCTTTAGGTCTTTTCGGCAAAGACCT